AAAGAATATGAGGGTTGGAAAAGCTCGAGATTTCCATGAGGATGAGAATGGCACAATCTGGTTGGGAGAAAGATTGTGTGTGCCTGACGACAAAGAACTGAAGGATCTCATACTCACAGAAGCTCATCAAACTCAGTATTCAATTCATCCCGGCAGTACTAAAATGTACCAGGACCTCAAAGAGAAATTCTGGTGGGTCAGCATGAGGAGAGAAATAGCTGAATTCGTCGCACTCTGCGATGTTTGCCAACGGGTGAAGGCAGAGCACCAAAGACCAGCAGGTTTACTCCAACCTCTTCAAATCCCGGAATGGAAATGGGAGGAGATTGGAATGGACTTTATAACAGGACTGCCCCGGACATCATCGGGTCACGATTCAATCTGGGTAGTCGTGGATCGACTCACTAAGGTTGCTCACTTCATACCAGTACATACCACGTATACGGGCAAAAGGTTGGCGGAGCTCTACCTCTCGAGAATCATGTGTCTGCATGGGGTACCTAAGAAGATAGTATCTGATCGAGGGAGTCAGTTCACTTCAAAGTTCTGGCAGAAACTGCAAGAAGAATTGGGGACTCGTTTGAATTTCAGCACGGCTTATCATCCGCAAACAGATGGTCAGACCGAGCGAGTAAATCAAATCTTGGAAGATATGTTGAGAGCCTGTGCGCTTGACTTTGGCGGAGCCTGGGATAAAAGTCTGCCTTATGCGGAATTCTCTTACAACAATAGTTATCAGTCCAGTTTGCAAATGGCACCGTTTGAAGCATTGTACGGACGAAAGTGCCGCACACCACTTTTCTGGGATCAAACAGGTGAGCGCCAACTGTTTGGGACAGAAGTGTTAACCGAAGCAGAGGAGAAAGTTAGGACTGTCAGAGAAAGGCTAAGAATTGCGCAATCTCGACAGAAGAGTTATGCTGACAACCGCCGAAGAGAGCTTACTTTCGAAGCAGGGGATTATGTGTACCTTCGTGTCACTCCGCTTCGGGGAGTACACCGCTTCCAAACCAAAGGCAAGTTGGCACCACGCTTTGTGGGACCATACAGGATCTTGGAACGCAGAGGTGAAGTCGCTTACCAGCTTGAGCTCCCATCTAATATGGTTGGTATCCACGATGTGTTTCATGTATCTCAATTGAAGAAGTGTTTGAGGGTACCTGAGGAACAAGCTAGCTCAGAGCACATTGACATCCAGGAAGATCTGACTTATGTGGAGAAGCCGATTTGTATCCTCGAGACCAGTGAGAGAAGGACCAGAAACAAGGTGATCAAGTTTTGCAAAGTTCAGTGGAGCCACCACTCGGAAGAAGAAGCCACCTGGGAAAGAGAAGATGAATTGAAGGCCGCCCATCCGCACCTCTTCGCCAGCTCTTCTGAATCTCGGGGTCGAGATTCTGTTTAAGGGGGGTAGGTTTGTCACGCCCTGAAGTTCCCCTCCCTTGCTCTAAATTCATAAAATAAATCGTCCGAAGAAATTGTTTAATTTAACCTAGAGAGAAACCCTAAAGTAATAAATGCAAATAATAATCGGAATCGGCATGTGGAATTTTTCTTGGGTTCTACATGTCAAAATACGCTAACAGGATTTTTAGTGGAATTTTCAGAGCCTTGGAAATAATTTTAACCAATTAAAATAAGCAAAGTGCAATATTAAATCCCTGGGAAAATCCTTTTTTCCTTTTTATCTTTCCTTTTTCCCCCTCTTTTTCCTCCTTTGGGCCGCCGGCCCATCTCTCCCGCCCCCTCCCGAAGTCCAGGTCGCCTCCCCCTCACTCCCTCGGGCGCTGACAGGTGGGGCCCACCTGTCAGCCCTTTCCCTAACCTCCGGCAGCCGCCACCATCCGCCGCCGAAACCGCCGCCCACGCCGCCGCTTCCTCCGCCTTCCGCGTCCCGGGCCACGTCGCCCACTTTCCCCGCGCGCCCCGCCCTCCCCGCGCCCACGCCCCACTCCCGCTCACCCCCCGCGCCCGCGAGATGGCCGGGATTCAAATTTGAATCCCGCCTCTCTCTCTCTCCTCCTCCACCTCCTCCACTACTCCGGCGAAATTGCGCCGTTCCCGGCCACGACTCGCCGCCCCCTCTCCCCTTATTTAAGCATCGCCGGCACCCCCTCTCTCTTTTTCCCCATTTCGCCGACCCCTCCCGTGCTCCCCATCGTCCCCGCGCCGTGCAACCACCCACCGCCGCTTCTTCCCGCTACTCCGGCCGCCGCTAGCCGTCGCTAGGCTCGCCGCCGTCTTGCGCCGTCGCCGCCGTTCGATTCGCGTGGCCGAGATCCACCCCGTCCACCCCTCCTCCGTCGAAGTTCGTCGCCGGAGCCCTCATCCCCTCGCGCACGGGTGAGCACCACCTCCACCGCCGCCGTCGGCCATGGTTTCCGATCGCCGTGGTCCATCTCCCTCTCTCTAACCCCTCCCAACCTTTTCTCTAGGTCCTCCCGGAGCCCGTCGCCGTCGTCCTCCCGTCTCTCATCGTTGCTGTTCGCCGTCGCTCCTCCCTCGCGCCGGCCGAGCCCCTCGGTGAGGATCGGTCTCCCTCTCTTCCTCTCTCTCCCTTTGCCGCGCCGCCCGCCGCGTAGCGTCGCCGCTAGGGTCGCTCGCGCCGCCGCTTCGGCCGCCGCCGCCGTCTTTGCGCCGTCTGCCGCCGCCTCCCGTCGCCGGTTGCCGTCGCTGGCAACCGTGCGCGCGCGCCGCCGCCCTCGCCATAACCGGCCGGCCGGCTTGAAGCCGAGCCGAGCCAGGCCGCCTTCCTCCTTTCCCCGTGAACCGCCGCCCGGTGGGCCCCGCTTGCCAGCCGCGCCCCTCCCGCCTTGTGCCACTGCCCGGTGGGTCCCGCCTGCCAGCCGCCCCTCTCCCTCTCTTAGTGTCACTGACCCGTGGGTCCCGCATGTCGGCGCCGCCCCACCCCTTGGATGACGTCAGCCCTGGGGCAATATTGCGCAATAAATTGATTAAGGGTTTTTCTTTATTAGTAAAAACACAGATAATCTTCTAAAAATCATAACTAATTCATCCGAGCTCCGATTAAGTCCATTCAAGTCTCAGTAAATTCATAAAAATGTGTAGAATCCATTAAAAATGGCTTTGTTATCTGTTTCAGTAGTCTTATAGCATGTTTTGCTTGTGTGCTTTGTTTGTCGCGTAGATTTCGGCCGTTTCGTCGATCCGTGGTTTCTCGAAGACGTTGCTGTGGTTCCATCAGTGCGAGAGCAAGGCAAGTCATACATTGCAATTGATCATATTGTACCTAATTTACAAATGTCCCGCATTTCTATTAAATATTGCATTGTTTTACCATATCATGTGGGATGGGTCCTATTACTCAGCTATATGTTGTTTCCCTTATGCCATTGATAACTTGGGTATTAAAATGACTAGATGTTGGTTTAGGAGATGCTTAGCCATGCTTAGTTCAACTAGTGCACAAAAGGGGACAACATTAAAGCATAGACTTGATTATTGGCAATAGCTTTGGATTAGTGCCACCGCAATGGTGTTGGCTAATTAAAATACATTACCTGGTGGGCTGTGGGTGCATGGTTTTGCTAGACGTGCCCATGGCGATTAAGGACCGGTTCGCGGGATGCCCTGGAAGAATTTATCGTACTTACCACAAGCCAGCGTGGGCAACGGCTGGGCTTGTAGTGTAGCTTTTCTCTAGCCGACGTACCCAGGCGAGGGTGGGCGTGATGGAGTTGGGTCGGCCGGGGTGTCCGGTTGATCGGCTGCCGGATTCACCGCGGCACGAAAGGGGGGCTGCCCGTTGCCTGCTGGGGACGGGGGCGAACCCTAAGGTGTGGTGCGATCGGTTAGAGGGGGTTATGCGAAGGGTCCTGTCACGGCCTCTTTCCGGTATGTCGTGGTGGCATGTCGGCGCACGGGAACGTGTCGTGGGGCTGTGTCTTGTGGGTACAGTTGTACACCTCTGATCAGAGTAAAACTATTCGAATAGCCGTGCCCGCGGTTATGGGCGGTCGACCAGATTCACCGTGATTAGTTTCACCCTAGTTAGCTTTTGGAACTGGTTAGTTCAGGTGGTGGTTTGGGCCTGTTGCAACGTGGTGTAACGTTGGACAGTGATTGGTTAATATGGATTAATTACTACAACTGTTTTACTGCTTTCAACTACTGCTTTGAAATGCCGGCTTTATGCAAAAGAACCTTTAGCCTCCCTTGGATATATCTTGCATCATACCTCCTCTTCCGGTATGACTTGCTGAGTACAGTGGGTAGTACTCAGTCTTGCTCTCTTTTCCCCCACATCAGAGTTGAAGTCCTTCTCAGTTGAAGATGTCTCGAAGAGGTTGGTTTCGTCGCTGCCGTCAAGGATGCCTGTGGAATGGAGTCGCCCGCTGCAGGAGTCAAGTCTTCAGGCTTAGCTCGCTTTTCTCTTTTTCCGCTGCATTTGTAATCTTTTATATTTTTGTAAGACGTGGATCTGTATGTCAACAATTGTCGTTTGTGTACCCTGGCTGGTCCTGGACAGGGGTTTAATGCACATTCAGCTTAGAAATTCTGGTTCGTGAATTTCTGGGCGTGACAGTTTTCCAATTGACTGGCTCTCAATCATTTGCAGCTTTGGAGTCTTTGCCCACTGTAATTGTGCACAAAATACAGGTTAGACCCATGCCGACCAGAAGTCATCCAGCTGTGCACTGATCGAGCAAACCAAAGACCAAAGAAACAGGGGTAGTCTAACGCGCAAACGCGTGAATTCACACGCTTCAATTCTAGTAATAGTTAAAAAAAAGTTATGTTTAGCAACTTTCATTAGATATGATTAAAAAAGACCGTCATGATTCAAGAAACTTTCCACAGAAGATTTGAAAATAATTTACAGGAAAGACTAAAGAATACTCGGAAAACAACTTCCAACTATTCCATGTTGAGAAAAAGAATCTCTCTACTTGCCACTAACGACTGACTTGTCCTTTTACAATCCAGTTGCAATCATGTACAAGTTGCAGTATCACTGCCTTTTCTCCTGTGATGGCTGATGGAACTGTCGCGTTTAATATAATCCAGTTGCAGTATCAAGTAGGAGTACAAGTTGCAGTACATTAAATGTACAAGATTCATACTATGAACATCAATTTGGATGTCATAAAGAACTTAAGGACTAGCTATTTACAAACAATAACGTCAAGTTGGATCTTGGATGTTATAAAAGACTCAGTTACCATGGCTACTCCCTATGTCCCTCCCATTCTTTAGCCAACGCTCGATGCCATCTCACCGGGACAAGAGCTCGCCGCCGGCGACAAGCTCGTGTCCAGCAATGGCAGGTTCGCCCTCGGCTTCTTCCAAACCGACAGTAACAAGTCCTCCTCCAATAGCACTCCGAACATTTACCTAGGCATCTGGTTCAACACCGTCCCCAAATTCACCCCTGTATGGGTTGCCAACGGCGAAAACCCTGTCGCGGATCTCGCGTCGTGCAAGCTCCTAGTTTCCAGCGATGGCAACCTCGCCATCGTTGCAACGACCCATGCCAAGAACTCCTCCATGGTCTGGTCCAGCAAAGCCAACATCCCAACCAACACCACCCATGCTGTTCTCCTGGACGATGGAAACCTTGTCCTGCGTAGCACTAGCACAACCAATGCATCATCCACCATTCTCTGGCAAAGCTTTGATCACCCGACAGACACTGTTCTGCAGGGTGGAAAGATCGGCTGGAACAACGCCACCGGTGTGAACCGCCGTCTTGTCTCCAGGAAGAACACCGTTGATCAAGCTCCTGGCATGTATTCCTTCGAGTTGCTCGGACACAACGGCCCTACCTCCATGGTCTCCACGTTCAACTCCTCGAATCCGTATTGGTCCAGCGGAGACTGGAACGGCCGGTACTTCAGCAACATACCGGAGACGGTAGGACAGACATGGCTATCACTGAATTTTACAAGCAATGAGCAAGAGAAGTATATCGAGTATGCAATTGCAGATCCCACGGTGCTATCACGTACCATACTGGATGTCTCCGGCCAGCTGAAGGCGCTTGTGTGGTTCGAGGGGTCGCGGGATTGGCAAACCATCTTCACGGCACCCAAATCGCAGTGCGATGTCTACGCTTTCTGTGGACCTTTCACGGTCTGCAACGACATCACATTCCCCTCCTGCACCTGCATGAAGGGCTTCTCAGTACAATCACCTGAAGATTGGGAGCTAGATGACCGAACAGGTGGATGTGTGAGAAATACTCCGCTGCTCTGCAACAGCAATAAAACTGCAGCAGGCACGGCAGATAAGTTCTATCCTATGACTTCTGTTCAGCTTCCTGATAAAGCCCAGAGCATAGGAGCAGCTACTAGTGCAGATGAATGTGCAGCTGCCTGCCTCAGTAGCTGCTCATGTACTGCGTATTCCTACGGTGAAGGTGGCTGCTCTGTTTGGCATGACAAGCTGCTCAATGTACGACAACAAGGTAATGGTGTTCTCTACCTTCGCCTTTCTGCAAAAGAAGTACTGGAAAGTAGGAGAAACAATAGATGGGGGGTGATCCTTGGTGCTTCAATTGGTGCCAGCACTGCTGCTTTGGGTTTGATCTTTCTGCTGATGATTTGGATCAGAAAAGGGAAGAGATATAACCTCACAATGGATAATGTTCAGGGAGGCATGGGAATCATTGCATTTAGATACGTTGATCTCCAGCATGCAACTAAAAATTTTTCGGAGAAGTTGGGGGCCGGCAGTTTTGGTTCTGTATTTAAGGGGTCGCTAAGTGACTCGACTATCATAGCAGTGAAAAGGCTTGATGGTGCTCGCCAAGGAGAGAAGCAATTCAGAGCTGAAGTGAGTTCCATAGGGATAATCCAGCATGTAAACTTGGTTAAACTGATTGGGTTTTGCTGCGAAGGTGACAGGAGGTTACTTGTTTATGAACACATGCCAAAGAGTTCTCTTGATGCCCATCTCTTCCCAAGCAGTGGTGCAGTTTTGAGTTGGACTATTAGGTACCAAATAGCCCTCGGAGTTGCAAGAGGACTAGCTTATTTGCATTCTAGTTGCCGAGACTGCATTATACACTGTGATATCAAACCAGAGAACATACTTCTTGATTCATCTTTCACTCCTAAAGTTGCAGACTTTGGAATGGCAAAGTTTCTCGGAAGGGATTTCAGTCATGTCGTAACTACAATGAGAGGAACCATAGGATATCTTGCTCCTGAGTGGATAAGCGGAACAGCTATCACATCAAAAGTGGACGTTTACAGCTATGGAATGGTTTTGTTAGAAATCATTTCAGGAAGCAGGAACTCCAGTAAACAATCTTCGCGTGATGGCGTGCATGAAGCTTGTTTCCCCGTGCAAGTTGCACGCAATCTTCTGAACAGAGACATTGACAGTCTGGTGGATGCAAACTTGCATGGTGAAGTGAAACTGGAGCAGGTTGAAAGAGTTTGCAAAGTCGCATGTTGGTGTATTCAAGACAATGAGTTTGATCGACCCACAATGAGTGAGGTACTACAGTTTCTCGAGGGTCTATCTGAAGTTGAGACACCTCCAATGCCAAGATTGCTTCATACTCTTGCAGGAGGTTTAGATTCGAAAATAATGTAATCACTAGTTTTGATCGTTGTTCGTTCACCTAGGTAGTTCTACACGTCACATTTCTCATCTGCCGTTTATATCGTAAGCTTCCTTGCCGCTTCATTATGCCACCCTTGTAATGATTGTAACCATTATTCCCACTCCCAGCAGATTGTTAAACTTACGTGTTACATCCTAATAAATCAGGGGGAAACTTGACCTTTGGTCTGAAGTTCAAATACTTGACCCGAAATTTCAGATCAGGAATGCTAGACATCATATGACAGATTTTAGGGGAGAAATCACGTGAATTTCCGACCTTCTCTACCTACGATTCATGCTCCAAGATCTTCTCCAGCTCCGGCAACTCTAGCAAGCTCGTGAGTAGTTTGCTTTCGGGGTTGGTGTCAAGTGGTGGCAAAGGTGGACGGAGGGGTTTCGTAGCTTAGAGGAACGACCGGGACAGTGGCAGCACGATGGTGGGCCATTGGCCGTGGGGGTGACAAGTGAGATGGCTATGGCGCCACCTTGGCCACGGGAGAGGAGGTGACGGGCTGGTGTTGGTGGCGGGGGAAGCTTGTCATTGGAGTGGTTAGGAGGTAGTGGGAGGTGGTGATTGATCTGGTAGTAGGAGCTGCCGAAGACGGAGGAGGATGGTGGCACCGAAGCTAGGGAGTGTAAATAAGAAATGAGATGAAATGGGGCTGAGAGGAGGGGGCTTCGTGGTCTGGCAAGCCTCAATGGCGTTGGAGGTGATGCCCACGAGGGAGAGGGTGGTGGGGTGGGTAGGCGACATCGGTATGGGAGGCATCGAGATGCACGTGTTGCACCTGGACGTCGACACCAACACGGTTGGCCGCGCCCTTGGCCGTCAATGCCGACGCGGATGGCAACGCGTGGCCACTATCGCCGCCGCCCGTTCCTTGGCCGTCGACGCTAACGTGGATGGTGGCACATGGCCGCCGCCATCCGCGCCTAGCCACTGCTGGAGGAAGACGGCTCGGCCGCCGGTGGAGAGTGATGGCTGGGTGGGTGAGGAAATGAGGATAGGGTAGAGGGTGGGGAAATTAAGGTTTGGCTTTGTATATGATAGGCTAGATCGGCTTTTTGGGCTTGCAATATTAGTATTAATAGTCTAATATACACCCTCGGGGCTCTGCGGGTCATCCGCGGGTGGCTGCCATCCCCCGCCCCCGCCCATGGCCGGGGCACCGACCCGGACTCTCCACAGGTCAAAATCAGCACCCGTCCCCGACCCCGTAGGGGCGGCCCCACGGGGGAAATTGCCACCCCTATGGATGGTTATATTTTGATCCAACAGTTAAAATTTCATAATATGGAACCCCTAGAACATTCTAGTTTATATATAGACAATGTCATTTTAGATATTCATGAGAACGTAAATGTCATCTGGAAATCCTGGAGCCAGGATGGAGTCAGGATGGAGTCAAGATGTAGAACTTATGTTAAATTGATAAAATTGGTGTTTATAACATTTTTATATCTGTATGTAGTATTTAATCTATGACATGTCAGTTTGAAATTGAATTAACTATGGTAAAAGAATCTTACAAAATGTTGTACTCCCTCTAAGCTGATAATATTAGTCGCTTTGAACAAGGGTAAAGTCAAACTTTAAAATCTTTGACTATAAATAATTTCTAAAATATTTATCTTAAAAATATGAAAACCATATGTGTAGATTAGTATTAAAAAGTACTTCAATAAAATCATACTCCCTCCTTCCCAAATTGATTATCATATAATGGAATCCAAAATTTTCTCAAATTGATCATCATATAACTGTATGGACACGGATTTAATCGGAATACAATTAATACATCATGGGAGAATGTGTGCATGGTAGGGTGTAATTGGCATGGTGTTTTAATCGATGCATGCATTGTGGGAGAATGTGTGCATAATGTCTTGATTGATACGATTTAAATTATCCTTGGTCTTGGTGCATAAACACATATGATGATCATTTTGGGATGGAGGGAGTATATTTGTTGATATTTCTATATATATACTTTTTGGAGACTGTGTCCTTGTCCAAAACGACAAGTATTATCAACCCCAAGGGAGTATTCCAAATGAGACCTAGATGATAATAGTTAGTGCACGTGCAAGGCACATCGACATATAAAGAATTGAGTAAATATTCTTATATTCTTATTTTTTTTATACAATAATGGTGAGAAACACTGGTTGATGGAAAATATTTTGAATCCCAACGTTTGCAAAAATGAGAACCGTTGCAAATACTATCAATTGAGTCCATAGGTAACAAGAAGAAAATTTAAAGTTCTACAACCTAAACTAATATTTTATTACAATGAAATTATAAATGCAAAACTTGTAAACAATTTCTAGTTCCAACATTAGTCCATGTTAGTTGCCAGATCAGTTCCCCTCAGGAGATTAGGTATTGTATTACAATCCAGTTTTGACCATTCTAATCCTAAGGTAACCTTGAAGAAATCGTGAATTTTGTTTTGGTAGGTTTTCTCGAACATATGGATACATATAGGTTATATGATGCATTCAATACACTACTAATTTATTTATTTCAAACATAACAAATGAAATGTGTGCACGTGCATTCAAGAGGAGCATACATCCCACTGTTTGTTCACAACGGAACACTAGTGCCTGTATCGACTATACTGACCATACTTATCTAAAAATTAGGTATAGATGGTTTTAAAGCATTTAGTAGATAACATATATATAATTCAGATGAGTCTATAGATATGGATATACTCGTCAAATGGTCAACCTTCAAAAACGTTGCAACAAAAAAGGATGTTTCTATTTCACCTTAGCATTTTCCGCTAGTGATCTATTTGGTCTCCAAGCATTAGAAAAAAATTGATACTATGTCTACAAAGTGCAATGAGATTGTTGGTTAAAATAGAGATTATTAAAATGGCTAAAGTATGTAGTTTTGAAGCATCATTGGTACCAGATATCCATCAATCTTTTATCTATCACTCTCATTGGTCAAGCAAGACTGAAGTCACGAAGCCCTACATAAGCATAATTCTCTTTGTTCCTATGCGCTAGAAAAGAATCAATTGGTACGTTCTATATCAGGGGTTACTGAACAAAATATAACCCCTAATATAAATGTAACCCTTGACAAGAAGAATTATGCATATGTAGGGCCTAAGGACTTCGGTTTGGCTTGGCCAATGAGAGTGAGAGATATAGTGTTGATGAATATCTGGTACCATTGATGTTTAAACACTACTCATAATTTGGCAATTTTAATAATTTCTATTTAAACCAACCATGTCATTACACTTTGCAGCCATAATATCGATTTTTCTTCTAATGCTTGGGGACTAAAGAGATCACTACCGAGAAATGTTAATGCAAGCTGAAATAGAAAGGTCCATTATTGTTGCAAGGTTTTTGGAAGTTGACCATGTGACGAGTACGTACATGTCTATAGGCGCATAGATATGTAAATTATATGTTATCTAATAAATGCTTTAAAACCATCTTATTCCTGATTTTTAGAAAGTTTGTACTCCTTACAATCATTAGTGTACTGTTGTGGCCAAATAGTGGAAACTATGCTTATCATGAAGGTATGTGCAGCCATTTCATTTCTTTTATTTGAAATAAATAAGTTAATGTGTATCCAGATGTTCAAGACAACCTACTAAACACCATTGCTATTCATGATTTCTTCAAAATTGGTCTCAGGATTAGGATGGTCAAAACATGACTATTTTACGAAGATTGATGGAATAAAATGTTTACAAGTTCTCCATTTAGTTACATTATAATAAAATACTCCCTCCAATTTTTTTTTTAACATTGGTTAGATCAACATACATTAGCAAACATGGGTAGTAATAATTTAGGTCGTGGAACCTTAATTTTTGTTGTTACCTTTGAACTCAACTGATATATTTGTAACAGTTCTCATTTTTGCACAAATCGAGACTCAAAATATCTGTTGTGAATTGATGTTTCTCACCATTGTTAGTGTAAAGAATAACAATTTAAGAGTATTTACTCCATTCTACAAATAACAATTTAAGAGTATTTACTCCATTCTACATATGTTGACGTGCCTTGCACATTCACGTTAATTACTCCCTCCGGGTAATCATATATTCGTATATGACATTTACAAAACTTGAGAACAAAAATAGTTTGATTGCTTTGTCCGAAGCGCCATGTACTTATGACTAAAGGGAGTAGTTTCAATATATAGTACGGTTAACTCTTATTCGGTTTAATTTCTACGCCAACTTTAATCATAATTTTTTATTAGAATATAACACACTAATATCTAAGAAAAAAACATTCTGTAAAGGTACTTATAAAGAAATATCTATCTATATGATTTTTATGTTTTCAAACTTAAAGAGGTATTATATTGACGGTCAAGGTTCAAAAAGATTGATAGAATAAAATTAATCAACAATATCATAGATGTGAATACGGAGGGGAGTAGGAGTACCTTCTTTTTCCTTCCCCCTGCGATGGGAGATTGGATCTTTGCTCCAGAATCCAAATCCTCCACGACAGTGGTGCTGGTGCGTGAGAGATTGGGTCGTGCGTCTTACCAGGCGCCCAACGACGAGAGCTACGGCCGCGCCGCCGCGCGACAAGCATACCACACCGACGAGGTCCCCCCCTCCGCCGCGAACGCCGATCTCAGCACGCCGCCATCGACGAGGTCACGCTCCAGGTCTAGGGCTCCGCATCGGCTTACCAGTTTGCCGTCGCCTGCAACACGGCTGACGGCGCTACGAGGACGAGGCAATGGGGGAACACGGGCGGCGGAACCGAGAGATGGAGCTTGGGCCTCATGTTGCCTGTTGGGCCTTGGGTTCAGGGCCGCTCGGCCCAAAATCTCCGGGAGATCAGCGAGGGGCCGTGCAGGCCTCCACCAGCTCGGAGTATCGTATCGTGTAGGAATAAGTCTATTTACCATCTCTCATCTTCGTGTCGAGTTTAATTGACATCCCAAAACCACCAGATATCTTCACCAATCACCACTCATCTTGACAAAACAATTCAAATCAGAGTGATTTCGTTGACGTGAAATTCTAGTCAGAAAAAAAAAATAAAAAGCATGTGAGGCCCATATGTAAGTGGAATACATATTCGAAAATTTCCTATCGGATCCCTCCGATATGATATTATTTCAGCCGAAATTTTTAAAGGAGTAAAGGAAGAAGATGTATGCCATTTACAAGAGTCTCACATGTTTTTTATTTTTTTTCTGACTAGGATGCCACATCAACAAAACCATCATCCATATTACTATGGAACTTGATTTGGATAGTTTCGTTAAGGTGGGGGTGGAGTTTTTGTTACTGTGGTTTAAGGATGTCAATTAAACTCGATATAAAGATGATACTAGAAGGTAAGTGGACTTATTCCTATCGTGTCCGAGCCCACGTAAAGTGGAAGCCCGCTCCTGGGAGGCCCTGAAGCGCAGCTGCTTATCTGCATCTAGGCGTCTCATCTAGTGGTCACCTGAGTAGCAAGTTCGTGCTCCCTCCGTCCATAACGAAAAAAAAAACTCAAATACTAGAGAAGAATCTAATATTAAATAATTAGAAGGGGTGAGGTTTCGAATCCAGATCATCTAGCCCACCACCTTGTGGAGCTAACCGGAAAACCCCTAGGTGTTTCTCCCTCCGTCCATAACGCACATTGGACTAGTGATATCTAATCTAATTTTAGTTTGTCATATTTTATAACGGAGGAGTACTCTATTTCGTCGTACATATCTAAAGTTTTGGAAAAGATTTGGTTCAATATTTAAAATTTTGACAGTTAATTGTGTATTATAATATGTTTATAAAATACATAAGTTTATAGTATTATGGAAGTATTTCTAAAGAAAATTTATGCATATCATTTTTTTTCTTATTTTAAACTAAGCATTGATTTGGTCAAATATTTAAAACTTAGCAATCAAATATGATCAAAAACTTATTTGGAACATCAAAAAATATTTATGATCAGAGTACTCAAAGCTAAACCTTTAGGGTGTTCTACGTCCGTAATAGTATCTATGCTACTTAAAATATCAGTAGTTATGGTGTCCATTCTGCCACATTGGCCCTTTACTTTTGAGTATCACAATCTATATTATTATAAGACCCTCCAGCGAATTATCTTCCGTATCTTCCGTTTTACTGCTGGTTCTCCCTAAATTTCAAAGCCACCTACTTGTCTAATAAAGAAAATCATACGAGTACTACTTAGACTAAATATATGCTTAATTGACTTAATAAGTTAGAAACTCAATTTGTTTTATGTTGAAATGCACGGGCTCTTGGCTAGTTAGGATAGAAGGCATCATTTGCCTCTGGGATATTTCAGGGTGGCGTCGTACAATTGGTAAGAGTGTGAAGATCTTGCATCACGGTTGAATATATTTTTCACCAAGTTAATTCGGCGGATGCGCTTGCCTAAACACCATGCACTAGAAAAACCATTTGTGTAGCCAGTCCGTAACACATTTATACATGCGTTTAGCCAACCACTGCAGCTTAAGGCCTATAGGAATCAATGATTTATATAAGCGGATTCCACAGCTGCATGTAAAAATAGTTTTTCACATGTGGTTTATGACCCTAAGACAAAAAAAGAAACGCGAATATTAGAGAAGGAAGCACACTACCTTGTGAAACTAGCCGAAAAATCCATGGGCGTTTCTCTTATGACCCTAAGACGGCTTTAACCATCTTCATAATGGTTTTTCTTTTTGACCGCTTGAGATAAATAAAGCCAAGAACATGCAAAAATAATTTTAGTAGCGATGTTTTTCTCACTTTTATTAAGTTTATTCGTAAACCTTATGGTAAAAAATATTTAATTTATTCTTACAATCAAGTAAATAGTTCACAGCAATAATATGATGAATAATGGCAATATGAGATTGACACCTCCCCGCTATGAATTATTCATGCGGGGGGCTAGGAATCATACTGACGAAACGTGCTCAACTCCCAGAGCACAAAATCCAGTGAATAACAGAAGGTCAAGCACTTCAAGTACTGCTAAACTTTTTCTTCAAACTTTTAACTTTTCCATCACATCAAAACTTTCCTACACACATAAACTTTCAACTTTTCCATCACATCGTTCCAATTTCAACTTCCAATTTCAGCGTGAACTTAAACACAGCCTAAAGTGCTATATATGGATGATGTACAGAAGTTGTGCACATATCTTATATTGCTTGGCAAGATTTGCTCCGGTCTAACAAAAAGTATTTCGAGGTACCGATATCTCAAGATACCGAATCGTTTTCAATCGTTGGAGTTAAAAACAATTTTAAAGAGTGAGGTACCGATATCGTAAGATATTTTTTTTTCTCACCAGAGCAAATCTCATTGCTCGGCATACTTGCTGCCACTGGCTTCTGCCTTTGCCACAAAGGCACTGCTTCGCAATAATGGCAAAGATAGGAAAAGCTATATGGTGAATTGGTGATTGGTGAGTGGTGACTCGTGCATTAATATGGAGGTAATACGCATCTGTGGCATATATGTCTCGCATTTGTGGCATATATGCCTCATATGTTGTGTTCCCTGATAGTTCACATGGAGCACAGAGCTATAGTCTAGTGCCTTTTAGCCCACATATATAATGTTTACATGATCACTAAAATAAAACGACAAGATACTTGTTAGTAAAAGTTAAACAAGTTGGAAGCTGACTAGTCTGACAGGTGTGCACCAGGGATTTCAATTTTGATTTAATTCCTGTTGCAACGCATGGGTATTCTACTAGTAGTATAAAATTTGAATCCTATAAATTTTTATGTCTTGGAACAAAGATAGTACTAGATTATCATGAACACGTGTTTTAAACTGCTTAGATGATGTCATTTTTTTAAAAAAAACTTTCTAAAGTTTTTTTAAATCAAATAAGTCTATTTTTTAAGTTGGTAACAGTAACATATATTACTAATCAAGGACTAATTAGTAAGCTTGTCAGACACACAGCTATTTGGCTGATCAGCCATCTCAAAAGCGGCCTTAAAAGAAAACATTAGGTTGGAGCCCACTCGCTAGCTAGTAAATACATATACTCCGTTTTATAATGTAATTAAGGTGTTTTAATTTTGTTCTAAACTAAATTCCTCTAACTTGGGACTAAATTTATATAAGAATAGTTAAAACAAAGATCACTAGTATGGCCATCTCTAGCATTGCAACACCATCAAGACCTAGGGTGAGAAGTATAATATATGTACGACTGTCATTTGTCACACATAGTAGACATGCCGTGGATGTTTGGCAATTCATAGCAAAAGATCTTACATCACCGTCGAAACATTATGTAATTAATTGGGTTAATTGGATCATGCTATTATAAATTTGTGTATTAAAAATGACATTACAATTCATCTGTTCATAGCCATGCCAGGCTACAAACAGATGAATTGTAACAATATTTTTCTGAAAAGGCAAATTTGCAATGACATGAATCCAATTAATCTTAATTAATTACTATTTCCTTTTGGCTACTATAAATGAAAGAAGAACTGAATAGTGATCGCCCACAGTTGCTCACCATGGCTCTTCTCATTTTTGTAGTACTACTATTCGCCTTAAGCATCCCAGCAAGTTCTGCCACGATCGACACCATCTCAATTGGCACGGCGTTGGCCAAAAACGATAAGCTTGTCTCAGAAAATCGCAGGTACGCACTTGGCTTCTTTGAGACACAAAGAAAAGCATCTCAGAAAACTAGCAAGTGGTACTTAGGAATTTGGTTCAACCAGGTTCCCAAGCTAAATCCTGCATGGGTTGCAAATAGGGATAAGCCAATTGATGATCCCACATCAGTGGAACTAACAATCTTCCATGATGGAAATCTTGCCATCTTAAACCAGTCAACAAAGTCCATCGTTTGGTCTACACAAGCTAATATCACTGCCAACAACACCGTTGCTACGCTATTGAATAGTGGAAATCTCATCCTAACAAACTTGTCAAACTCATTAGAAGTTTTCTGGCAGAGCTTTGACTACCCCACAGATACATTTTTTCCTGGGGCAAAGCTTGGATGGGACAAGGTCACAGGCCTTAACCGTCAGATTATTTCTTGGAAAAACTCAATTGACCCAGCTACCGGTTCCTATTGCAAAGAGTTAGACCCTTCTGGTGTTGATCAGTACTTGCTTTTGCCATTGAATTCCTCCACACCGTATTGGTCTACCGGTGCATGGAACGGCGATTACTTCTCCTCAATCCTGGAGATGAAAAGCCATACTATTTTTAATTCATCATTTGTTGATAATGATCAAGAGAAGTACTTTAGATATGATTTGCTAGATGAAAGGACTGTTAGTCGTCAGATATTAGACATCGGAGGTCAGGAAAAGATGTTCCTTTGGCTTCAGGACTCAAAAGATTGGACACTGATCTATGCCCAACCTAAAGCTCCGTGTGATGTCTATGCAATTTGTGGGCCTTTCACAGTCTGCATCGATAATGAGCTTCCACATTGCAACTGTATAAAGGGCTTCACCGTAACATCACTCGAGGATTGGGAACTGGAAGATCGAACAGATGGATGCTCAAGAAATACTCCAATAGACTGCATTAACAACAAAACCACAACACATTCAACTGATATGTTCTATTCTATGCCATGCGTTAGATTGCCCCCAAATGCCCATAATGTGGAAAGTGTAAAAAGTTCAAGTGAGTGCATGCAAGTTTGCTTAACTAATTGCTCTTGCACTGCTTATTCATTCATCAATGGTGGATGCTCTATTTGGCACAATGAATTGCTTAACATAAGAAAAGATCAATGTAGTGAAAATAGCAATACGGATGGAGAAGCTCTTTACCTACGGCTAGCTACAAAAGAATTTTATAGTGCAGGCGTTGATAGTAGAGGAATGGTTATTGGACTTGCTATTTTTGCAAGTTTTGCTTTATTATGTTTGCTACCACTAATCCTACTACTGGTGAGACGGAGTAAAACTAAGTTCTCAGGTGACAGATTGAAAGATTCCCAGTTTTGCAATGGAATTATTTCATTTGAATACATTGATTTGCAACGTGCAACTACAAATTTCATGGAGAGACTTGGAGGAGGTAGCTTTGGTTCTGTATTTAGGGGGTCTCTAAGTGATTCCACAACAATAGCAGTGAAAAGGCTTGACCATGCATGCCAAATTCCACAAGGAGATAAGCAGTTTAGGGCTGAAGTGAGCTCAATTGGAACCATTCAACACATCAATTTAGTTAAATTGATCGGCTTCTGTTGTGAGGGTGGCAGAAGATTGCTTGTTTATGAGCACATGTCAAATCGTTCTCTCGATCTCCAATTATTTCAGAGCAATACTACAATATCCTGGAATACTAGGTATCAAATAGCCATTGGAATTGCTAGAGGATTGTCTTACTTACACGAAAGCTGTCAAGATTGTATCATACATTGTGATATTAAACCAGAAAACATCCTTCTAGATGATTTATTCATTCCAAAAATTGCTGATTTTGGTATGGCAAAGCTTTTGGGAAGGGATTTTAGCCGAGTTTTGACAACGGTGAGAGGAACTGCAGGTTACCTTGCACCTGAATGGATTAGTGGTGTTCCTATAACACCAAAAGTCGATGTTTATAGCTATGGGATGGTCTTGCTAGAAATAATATCAGGAAGAAGGAACTCATATACCTCATCTCCTTGTGTTGGTGACCATGATGATTATTTTCCAGTGCTTGTGGTCCGTAAGCTTCTTGATGGAGATATATGTGGTTTGGTTGATTATAGATTACATGGTGACATCAACATAAAAGAGGCCGAAACAGCTTGCAAGGTTGCGTGTTGGTGCATTCAGGATAATGAGTTTAATCGACCAACAATGGATGAAGTGGTTCATATTCTCGAGGGTCTAGTTGAAATTGACATACCCCCGATGCCGAGGCTACTTGAAGCAATTGTAGCTGGAAGCTCAAATCCAACATGTACCTCATCTAGTTTTTTCGGATCAATTCGAGAATCCTTGTAAATATTTATAGTTCCTTTTTTCCTACAAATATACATACACGTATATATATTAGGAAATGGCATGAACCCAACCTCTACATCCAACCATATGTACCCAGCCAAACTACAAATATATATGTATGCATGAGTGACGGACTGATGCTATGTGCAGCTATTATTGTTGACATTTCTGCTACGACTCATGCTATGTGCAACTATTATTATTGACTTTTCTGCTAGGACTAGGGATTTGTAACCTGTCATCATTCTTCTTTTCCAATGAAGTTTTTTACCACCTATTGTTGATGTAATCTACAATTTTGTTGTCCATAATTCAATAGAAATTTAGGTGGATAGATCTAACAAATCTATGATCTTAGGATATGCTATGTGATTCATGCGACAAGATCAATGGAAAGGTCGTTGTCTTGCGTCCTCGTGGCCAGCGTTTGAACTCTGGTCTCAATGCTGGACCTCACTGTTCTGCTAATGATTAAATGCTAGTCATTACTCTCTGCGTCTCAAAATAAATGAATCTATGATAATATGTGACATCATCATCATCATCATCATCATCATCATCATCATCATCATCATCAATGAAGAATGTTTATTTGTTTCCTGATTGAGCCACGTATACTGTAAAATATGAGCCATTGGATCTGGAAAGAACGACTTAAAAGTATGGAGGGAAAAAGAAGAGTCAGGACACTTCCATTAGAAGGATCTATAGAAGGCATGTGGCATGCAAGAGTAAAAAAGACCCAACTTGTATAAATTTGACAAAAAAATATTATTGAAAATCGAGAGTTAAAGCTAGAAAAATAAGAGTTTGCAAAAAAAATATGTCACCACATTTTTTATTTAATTGCCATCACTTTTCTCTATATGATTGGTTTCTTCTATATGTAAGTATGCTTTTATCTCTCCCGTCTCATTTTCCAAGTAGATAATAAATTACTTTTAATTCTAATTCTTTTATGCATTGTGTATTAGAAAAAAAATACAATGTAAGCATCAAAATTTACAATGTAATTACAGTTTAAGTTTTAAAATTTACAATGTGAGCGCATGTAATTTACAGTGTAAAAACGATTTGACTAATGTTGTGAAAACATAGTGCCGTAAATATAGCTACTCCAAGAAAAAAATTAGGAAGAAGATAAAAATAGTGGAAAAGAGAGGAAAACCCACATGTGTCCCGTTTCCTTGTCACCACTCACCACATGTCCGCCTGTCACACCATCATTGCTAGGGAGGAGGAGATGGTGGCACAAGTCGAGTTGGGATGAAGTGCGGGCGTAGATGGAGAAATAAAAAATGAGCAAACAAGAGAAAAGAACTGAGGAGAAGCCATTGCACGCCAACTTTGAAATATTTAACTATTTGCCACTTGTATAAGGATTCGTCACTGAACCATATGTCATAAACACATGAGGACCCACATATTATAGACTGTGAGTGTCAAATCCTTAATTGCCATATCTTAAAAGTGAAAAAAAGTTAAATGCCCCAGTAACGTCTGGTGGTGCCGCCTCTTCTCGTTCGCGTTGCCACGTTCCATGCTCTCTTTCAAGAATGTCTAAAACAACAAGTTCCTCAAAAGTTTGTTAGAAGTTATTATATTTTAAATATTTGCCTAAAGGATTTTTTAAATAAAAAAGGTCATTTGGGCAGATATTTAAAATATAATACATGCTACTAATATACATAATTTAGAACCTTCCAGTATTATATTTATAGTAAATATTACACATTAGGCATGTTAATTATTTATAATCACGAAAATATTGTTTGTTACAGATAAAAAATTGACTACACTTCCTACCAAATCAATATTCTTCGAGAACCTATTTACATTATACAACCATATAGCATTTAATAGACAGGGGCTAGAGCCGCGCGAACGCGCGGCTCTACTGGCTAGTTACATAGTATAACTAATCCGGACAAGTCCATGTCTAGATTGGTTGTACTGTGTAATACATTGATGGAGAAGTGCTTTTTATTCCCGGTTCATAACCCCCAACCGGGACTATGAATCCGGAACTAAATAGATATTTTTTCTTTTGTTTTTCTCTTTTTCATTGTTTTTAGCATTGAATATTGATTTCACACCATCCCCTAATCATGCCAAGAAATCCTAAATCCAAATCATCACATATCACAGAACATCTCCAAATCCTCAAATAGATCATCTCCAAATACATCACAAACTCTTAAAACAATTACATCACAAGTTCTAAAAAATACATCACAGATTCACATCACACACAAATCAAATACATCAGAGGATAAATCATAAATTGTGAAAAAAAAAGAAAAGCCGGCCGGCCACTGCTGCCTCCCCTCCTCCCCTCCTCCCCTCCGCGCCGGCCGGCCGCCGCCGCCGCCACCGCCACCGCGCCGCTGCGCCGGCCGCTGGCCGGCCCACCCTCTTCTTCGCTGTGTGGAAGGAAAAAAGGAAAGAGAAGGCTAGGAGTTAGAGATAAGGAAAGAGATAAGAAGTTAGAGAGGAAAAAAGAGATAGAGGGAGGAGTTTGTTGTGTGGACGGGAAAAGAGGATCGGTACTAGGATTATATAGTGTGTTTTGATTTTTATTCCTGGTTAGTAACATCAATCGGAACTAAAAATAGGTTTTTAGTCCCGAATGGTGTTAATAACCGGGACTAATGATCCTAGGGCCCTGACACGGCCTGACATGGAATCAAAAGATGAATTTTAGTCCCGGTTGGAGTTACCAACCGGGACAAAAGATGATTTTTAGTCCCGGTTGGTCCAACAACCGGGACTAAAGATCTTCCTCTTATAAACCTGGACTATTGTGGATTTGGGTCGACCGACCAAAGATAGTTTCTCTACCAATGATAATATATCGATCCTATGTTGATTTATTTTGGGATGAAGAGAGTACGTAGTAATAATATGTTATTTCTCCTTTAATATTTTTTATGCTAAATTTCTCCATTGTGTCCCAAGAATGACTGAATGGGCAGTGGTCAAGTGGAGGACAGACGTTTTTATGCTGAATCTTGCCGATTACTTTTATCCATCCTCTTTCTCAATTTCATCATGGTGATCGCCTTTCAAACAAACAAAGGAAGACCAACTCAGGATAGGGCCTATTTAGATCCCACCCCAAAATTTTACACTCTATCACATTGAACGTTTGAACACCTGCATAAAGTATTAAATATAGGCTAAAAAAGTAACTAATTGCACAGAATACAATTACTTTGCGAGACGAATCTTTTAAGCCTAATTGCTCTATGATTTGACAATGTGGTGCTACAGTAAACATGTGATAATGATGGATTAATTAGGCTTAATAAATTCGTCTCGCGGTTTACTAACGGATACTATAATTATTTTTCTATTAGTGGCCGAACACACATGCGATACCCTACATAATACCCGATGTTACGCGTCAGAACTATACACCCCTATACACCCCTGATCTAAACACCCCCATAATCATGTATGACAGTTACAAAACCTGAGAACAAAAATAGTTTGATTGCTTTGTATGAAGCTCGATGTACTTATGAGTAGATTAGTAGTTTCAGTATGGGGCAGATCGTTTGTGCTGGTTTGCAGCCGGCTATATATGGTTGCGATTGTGCTGTATGTACAGTGCAAGCAGTAAAACTTATATTGAGCTTAGTCCTGTTGCTGCTGCTGCACAACTCTCTTCTGATCAGCCCCTATATTACCGGTAATGTACCTGGACACTGTAAGTTTTGGTCCCGTTTGCTTCTTAAAATGGGACATCTTCTTTTTAATATAAAACGTCGGCAACAGCCTGACCGTTCGAAAAAAAAAATATATTACCGGTAATGTTAACTCTTAATTATTCAATTTTTTGCGCACGACTTTAACCATAATTTTCTATTAGAAATAGCAATAATACCTAACAAAAACTTACTTTACGTAAAAGTACTTGTTATATTGATTTTTATGTTTTTCAAACTTAAAAATATTATATATATTGAAGTTCAAAATGGATTGATAGAAAATTAATCAACAATACCATAGATGTAAATACTGAGGGAGTTGGCTGCGATGGGAGATTGGATCGTACGTGCTCCAGAATCCTCCAGGACAATGGTGCGTGCGAGATTGGATCGTGCGCGGCCTAGCTTAAGAGCAAGCTTAATAAGTTTAATACTCCAATCAAATAACAAATTTATACAATAGTTGCTTACTATACTATTAATACATATGGTCCCACCTGACATACACACACCGTGTCTTGGAGTCCGCGCTGCAGCTGGCTACAGATCTATAGCCCGCTTCTCTTCTCTCTTATCTTTTATCTCATTAAATTATATTTATAGCTGGCTAATAGTATACTATTGTAGCCGCTCTAACAGGCTAACGGACGAGCGCTACGGCCGCGCCGCCGCGCGACAAGCCGGCCACCACACCCGCGACGAGGTTCCCCCTCCGCCTCCGCGCGCCGATTTCCAGCACGCCGCCATCGACGATGTGGCCGCCGGGTGCGTCGATCGGCTGGTCGAAGTACACCGAAGCAATGGGGAAGTTCCGGGGCCACGAGGCCTTACGGCGCGCGTGCACACGAGTGGATCAAATGGCCCGCTCAACCGCCGTCACAACAAAACAGGGGGCAAAAAAAAAAAAAAAAACCTCCATCCTCATCGTCAAATTTTAGCATCTGCATTACATCGCAAGGATCACAAGCTGACTGGGCGAGGTGGCCCATGGATGAACAAATGAATAACAGAAACATGTCCTTTTGCAGACAAAAAAGGAACTAGTTGGGGCCAAAACAAGATGTAATAAGGGAGAATCATCAGTCATGTAGTGGTAAAATTCAAACCCTGATACGTACGAATATTACGCATATGTAGGTGGGTTTTTATCATAATTTTAGTGAGATCATGGATGTGTCTCGCTGGTTTAGCATGTGTTATGGGGCGTATTCGTGTGTGCGTATGACTCTCCCGTGTAATCTCAAAACAAGAAAAGAAAAACAAGAGGCACAACACGTTTTGATGGCACAGATGAATATAGGGTAGTGTTACAATATATACTTCTTTTAAAGAGTATAGTATTGGTAGCGGTGACCGGTGAGTAATAAATCTTCCACCACCTCACACCACCAACATTTTTTTTTAAAAAAAAGAGAGAAAAGAATGATGTGGGCCTAGATTGTCAACTACTCTCACTATTTTTTTTCGATAATTACACGGTACAACGCAGACATTCACAACGCACGCGCACTCACCCCGATGAGCATCTTCGAAGACTGGGCCGGCAAATCTTTTGAGATTGACGAAGTCACCACATGCGCCTCGCTGTCGACGGGTACGTCGCCTACCACTGAAAGCACAAAGCCGTTAAATCCTGCAAAATTCGCTCCCATGTGGAGTCGAACCCAGGACCTCAGGTGCTACTGAGGCACTTGTAACCACCATGCTTTATTTAAGAGTAAAGTGTACGGACGGTCCTTAAACTTGTAGGGATGTGTCATCTTTGTCCCTAAACTCTCAAAATGCACATCCAAGTCTCAGAACTTGTCATACTGTGTCATCTAGGTCTCAAATCACCAAAACCCCTTAGGATCCTACGTGGCGTTGATGTGGCATACCACACAGACATGACATGGCATTATTTTGGACTGACAAATATGACCCATTTAAAATTTTTCCTTTTTCTTTTTTTCTTCTCTTTTTTTCCCTTTCTTCTCCTTTCTCTGTGACCTGAGCAGAAGAAAGGAAAAAAAGAAGAATGAGAAGAAAACGAAAAAGAAAAAAAAAGAAAAGAAGAAAAAAAAGAAAAGGACATGTCACGCCCATGTGGCATGCCACATCAGCGCCACATAGATCATAGAGGGGATGTGTCGATTTGGGACTTAGATGATACACTTTGACAAGTTCTGGCACCTTGATATACATTTTGAGAGTTTATGGACCTATATGATACAACACTACAAGTTTAAGGACCGCAAATGCACTTTACTCTTTATTTAACTCCATACTTTTTATAGGAAGATAAAAAGACTACATGTTAACCCTAATGTTAACATTCATATGCAAAATTCATATGAAGTGCTTCATGTAAATTGGCACTTTTGAGTTAACCCTTTGAGCAAATTAATTGGCATCCTCCCATCCTTGGAGAGGTCATCATACGCTGATACGCATCAGTGGCATACTGATACTGGCATGTCTCACAGATCGTGCTCCTTGCTAGTCGACATGCTCAGAACTAGTCTACTGCATTTTGGCCACTCAATATTGTTACACATCACTAAAAACTACCGAGTCACCTGTTAACAACTACTAACAAGTTGGAAGCTTCAAAACTGACTAGTCGAATGGGTACTTTACTTTACACGACTTACCAGAGGCAGAGATTCAAACAATAGGTACGTGTTTGCTGAATATTTACTTAAGATCGGTGTCAAATAGCCATCACTTTTGGATTTGTACATCCATAAGGGATGTAGAGACCGGATTGATATATATTATCTTTATACTACCTCCATATTTTAATGTATGACACCGTTGATTTTTTGTCCAACGTTTAACCATTCGTCTTATTCAAAAAATTTATGCAATTATCATTTATTTTATTATGACTTGATTCATCATCAAATATCCTTTAAGCATGACATAAATATCTTTATATTTTCACAAAAATTTTGAATAAAACGAATGGTCAAACATTGGTAAGAAGTCAATAACGTCATACATTAAAATACGTAGGGAGTATAAGAAAAAGCCATCACTTTCTTGTATAAAGACTTTGGCTCAATAATCACCGCTGCAGCCCGCCATGGTTTAAGGTCATTGTCCATCAATTTTAGAAATTCATGCATGTAAAATTTCAGTGGGTATGAGTACATGTGCCCGTACAAAATGAGTACATTTCCCGTAATACGGGAGGTCTCTACTTTCTCAGATAATTTATTGGCGTTCGTATAGGTGTGCACTCATGGGTGTGTGTGTGAATGGTCTGACTGTGGTGTATCTTCCATTATAGGCCGTGTTTAGTTTCAAAGTTTTTCTTCAAACTTCTAACTTTTCTATCACATCGAAACTTTCTTACACACATAAACTTATAACTTTTCCATCACATCGTTCCAATTTTAACCAAACTTTTAATTTTGACGTGAACTAAACACAGCCATAATATCTTTTTAGAGGAAAACTGACAGGCTCATGTAAGGTATGGTTGTCATCTATTAATTCATCCATTCAGCCATTTAGAAGAAAAGAACAGGCGGTGCCTCTCTGATGTGGCCGTCTCTAGATGGTTGTTTGCATTGCTGCGCCATCGAAATCTAGCTGAAAAAAGTATTGTAGGTACGATTGTCATTCGTCACACATGGTTGCCATGCCGTGGATGTTTCGCAATTCATAACAAAAGATCTTGCATCACCAACGAGACATGTATCAACTGTGCCATTTTTCCCTCCAATATTACATAAGCATTCCCTCCGTTTCAGGTTATAAGACGTTTTAACTTTGGTCAAAATCAAACAACTCTAAATTTGACTAACTTTGTAGACAAAATAGTAATATTTTACAACACCAGCAAAGTTTCATTAAATCTATAATTGAACAAATTTTCATAATATATTGTCTTAGGTTAAAAATATTACTATTTTTTCTACAAAATTAGTCAAACTTAGAGTAGTTTGACTTTGACCAAAGTCAAAATGTCTTATAACCTGAAACGGAGGGATTACTATATATGTTTCTACTTCTCTATATATGCCTCAGTTCCCTACTATAAATGAAATCAGAACTGACCAGTGATCACATATACTACAGTTGGCCCTCATCATGGCTCTCCTCATTTATGTAGTGCTCCTGTTCTCCCTATGCATCTCAGCAAATGCTGCCATGACGGACACCATCTCAATGGGCAACGCATTGGGTAGAAAGGACAAGCTCGTCTCGAAAAATGGCAGGTATGCACTTGGCTTCTTTGAGACAGAAAGAGTAGAAGTATCCCAGAAAAGTAGCAAGTGGTACTTAGGAATTTGGTTCAATCAGGTTCCGAAGATAACTCCTGCTTGGGTTGCAAATAGGGATAATCCAATCAATGATCCCACCTCATTAGAGCTAACAATCTTCCATGATGGAAATCTTGTCATCTTAAATCGGTCAGCCAAGACCATCATTTGGTCTAGCCAAGCTAATATCACTAACAATAACACCAGTGCTATGCTCTTGAGTAGTGGAAATCTCATCCTAACAAACCCCTCAAACTCTTCAGAAGTTTTATGGCAGAGCTTTGACTACCCCACTGATACACTTTTTCCCAGGGCCAAGCTTGGATGGGACAAGGTTACCGGCCTAAACCGTCGTATTATCTCATGGAAGAACTCAAAGGACCTAGCTGCTGGTGTATATTGTAAAGAGTTAGACCCTAGTGGTGTTGATCAGTCCTTGCTTACACCATTGAATTCCTTCACACCGTATTGGTCTAGTGGCCCATGGAATGGGGATTACTTTGCTGCGGTCCCAGAGATGGCAAGCCATACTGTTTTTAATTCAACATTTGTTCACAATGACCAAGAGAGGTACTTTACATATACTTTGGTAGATGAAAGGACTGTTAGTCGTCATATAGTGGACGTTGGAGGTCAAGCCAAGACGTTCCTTTGGTATGAGGATTTGCAAGATTGGGTAATGAACTATGCCCAACCTAAATCTCAATGTGATGTCTATGCAGTTTGTGGGCCTTACACAATTTGCATCGACAACGAGCTTCCAAATTGCAATTGTATAAAGGGCTTCACAATAACATCACATGAGGATTGGGAACTAGAAGATCGAACGGGTGGATGCTCAAGAAATACTCCGATAGACTGCACTAACAATAAAAACACAACTCATTCTTCAGATAAGTTCTATTCTATGACATGCGTTAAACTGCCCCAAAACGAACAGAACATAGAAAATGTTAAAAGTTCAAGTGAGTGTGACCAGGTTTGCTTGAATAATTGCTCTTGCACTGCTTATTCCTTCAGCAATGGTGGATGCTCTATTTGGCACAACGAATTACTTAACATAAGAAAAAGTCAATGTAGTGACAGTAGCAATACAGATGGAGAAGCCCTTCACATACGTCTTGCCGCAGAAGAATTGTATAGTAAAAAAGCCAATAAAAGAGTAATGGTTATTGGAGTGGTTATTTCTGCAAGTTTTGCTTTATTAGGTTTGCTACCACTGATCCTGTTATTGCTGAGACGGAGGAGTAAAACAAAGTTCTTTGGTGACACTTTGAAAGATTCTCAGTTTTGCAATGGGATTATTGCATTTGGATACATTAATTTGCAACGCGCAACTAAAAATTTCTCAGAGAAGCTCGGGGGAGGTAACTTTGGTTTTGTATTCAAGGGGTCTCTAAGTGATTCCACAACTATAGCAGTGAAAAGGCTTGACCATGCATGCCAAGGAGAGAAGCAATTTAGGTCCGAAGTGAGCTCAATTGGAATCATCCAACACATCAATCTAGTTAAACTAATCGGTTTCTGTTGTGAGGCTGGCACGAGGTTGCTTGTTTATGAGCACATGCCAAATCGTTCTCTTGATCTCCAATTATTTCAGAGCAAAACTACAATAACTTGGAACATTAGGTACCAAATAGCCATTGGAATTGCTAGAGGACTAGCCTATTTACATGAAAACTGCCAAGATTGTATCATACATTGTGATATTAAACTAGAAAACATCCTTCTCGATGCTTCATTCATTCCAAAAATTGCAGATTTTGGGATGGCAAAGCTTTTGGGAAGGGATTTTAGCCGAGTTTTGACTATGGTGAGAGGCACCGCAGGTTACCTTGCACCTAAATGGATTAGTGGTGTTCCTATTACACTAAAAGTTGATGTTTACAGCTATGGGATGGTCTTGCTAGAAATAATATCAGGAAGGAGGAACTCACGTACCTCATGTTCTTGTGGCGGTGATCATGATGTTTATTTTCCGGTGCTTGTAGCCCGTAAGCTTCTTGATGGAGATATGGGTGGTTTGGTTGATTATAGATTAGATGGTGAGATCGACATAAAGGAGGCTGAAATAGCTTGCAAGGTAGCGTGTTGGTGCATTCAAGACAATGAGTTTAATCGACCAACAATGGGAGGTGTGGTTCAGATTCTCGAGGGTCTAGTTGAAATCAACATGCCCCCAATGCCAAGGCTCCTTGAAGCAATTGCTGCTGGAAGCTCAAATCTGACATGTTCCTTAGCTTCTTTTGTATGAAATATTTCAGCTCAAGAATCCCTTTAAATACGTATAGTTCCTTTTGATACAAATATATGTATTGAGTGACAGACATATTGTTTGCAACTATTATATTGTTCTAGGACTACAAGGGGATTTGGAATTCCTACCATCTTCCTTGTCTCTCTCTCTCTCTCTCAATTGAGTTGTTTATCACCTACTTTTGATATATTCTACCATTTTGCTATCCATTATTTAGTAGAAATTTGGGTGGGCAGATCTAACAAACATCTGATCAGGATCTGCTCCATGATTCATGCAATAGTGAGATCAATGGCAAGGTCATTACGTTGCGCCCTTGTGGCCACGTTTGAACCCTAGTCTTAATTCTAAATCTCATCGTTTTGCGGTTTTGCTAATGATGCTAGGAAGTAATAATATATTCCTTCTCCTTGCACCTTTTTATATTAAATTTCTCCATAGTGTCGTAAGAATAAGGGAAGCACCATTGGCGTAGTGATATAGTCATGGATGCATGACTTCGGACCCCATTAGGATTCAAATCCTAGTGCCCACAAATATAGTTGTGTGCATCATTAATTGGTGCAGAGGCTGAAAGTTATACTTTATTTTTCTAAAGAAATTCCAAGAATGAGTGACAATATCATTCGAAAAGAGTTGCATTTGTTTTCTCTACAATTGGGGGATGGTACAATACCAGATATCATAGGCACAAATGAACAATTTATGATGACTCCAAGATACTCTTTTTAAAAGAGGTCATGAACAATATCCACTAACAGCAAGAAGTGTGGGATGAGAGGTTAAGAATGTCTGATGAGGATATAGTTGGATTTTAACTATAACTTTTTGTATGGAAGAGCTTTTAAGGAGCCCAGTTGGCTTTCCTATAGGTTTTTATAGGAAGATGTGGGCACACATAAAGGAGGTAGTGAAGGAGATGCTAGATGAGCTTTATGAAGGAGAGCTAGAGGTGAAAAGACTTAACTATGGAATTATAGGAATTATATCTTTAATCTGCATGATAAAATATGTGTGATTGAACAATACGGACCATTTGTTTGCTAGATATTGTCCTTAAGATATGATGAAAGAAAAGTGTATAAATGGAACACTGTAGATTTCTGACAGATGTATGGGCTGATAAAATATCCCCAAGAGTAAATAGTCCGAACTTATATAGAATCCAGCTTGGACACAATGTAAGGAGCTTTTTAATGATGGCGATTGGTGAGTGGAAGTTAGAGTTTAGGAGGAACCCAAGTGAGGCTGACAAAAATGATTTGATAGAGTTGCTAGATGTAAGGCATGATGGGGAGAGTGTAAGGTGATATGGACAACTCTGGGGAATAAAAAAGATCTATACAATTAACAATGATCCCTGCACAGGCAGATTACCTTAGGAGGTGTAATTGGCTCTGAAATGAATCTGATTTGGTTGAGTAGAATTCCCATGAAGATTAAACAATTCTTTGTACCTAACAATAATGGGCAGAATCCCTTGTGCGGCTCAACTGGTTAAAAATAAACTGAAAGGGAGGGACATAATTAAGCTTCTAAACTTTATCATAAACCTGAAACTGTTAATCATATCATCTTTTAATATCGTTTAGCTGTTTTTTTTCCTTATTAGAGATTTTTTTGTTCGAATTGCGTGTTTTGTAAAATGCAGAAATTTTAGAGTTTGGTGTAATTAAAATTTTGAAGGCTTTGCTTGGTTTGAAGGGGATTGAGGGGGAATTCTTAAGAAGAAGAAGAAGAGGGAGGAGGAGGAGTTAGAGGATGCAATGTAAGTTTTATACCCTGCAAATAATTTAAAATCAAACTCAATTGCATTTGCAGATTTAAAACATATATACTTTATGTACAAAGTTATAATGAGTTTTGTCTCTCTGTATATTTCAGAGACCGTTGAGTTTAATTTTCAGTTCAGTAATAGCATGACACCCCCTGTTACATAATGCTTTTAGAGTTTGTGTCGAATATATCTAAGTAGTCGATTATAAATTAGGACTTGGATTTGTAATAGGTGTTAATAAAATAGTAAGGCTATAAAAACAAAATTTTGAGTTCGACTTGTCCTAGGCTCAATTTAAGCTTGATTCGAGCTCTAGACTAGCCGAGCTTGGGCTCCTGTCAAGCCTAATAATATATAATTTTTATTATTTACTTTATATACTAATAGATCAAATATGCTGCCATTTATATGTATCCACACGATAAAATAGTTTATATTAATATCATATATTTATCTTTATTCTTTTTCTTCTATTCACAAATATAACTAAATAGAAATTAATTACTTTTATTTAGAGATTATATTCTTAAAATATATGTTAACTAAGCTTGATGGTCGAGCTCGAACCGAGTTCGTCTGGAAGCTTAAAGGTTACACAGGCTTAGCTCGAGCCTAGGTAGGTGAGCTCGCTCGAGCTCGTCTCGTTAACATCTCTAGATAATAGTAAAGTCAGACTATTATCTTAGGTTATGTTAAATTATAATCGCGTACTTTATCATAGATGATGGATGTCTGACCAGTGGCCTAACGGTCGATGGTTGTGCCCAAAATTCGCATCAAAAGCTTGGATGCTAAGTATTCACTACTTACTGGACTCAAGTTACATGTGATCGATCGTTCCAAACAGAAAGGAAATGGTTTCCAACGCTGCATTGCACCTGAGGACCAAACAAAGTCAGGGTTTTGTTCGATCGGATTCCCTCCATTCAAATCACTTCCAAATTCCGTTACCCTTTGCATTTCCACTCTCCAACCAAAACGCCTCCAATAGTCATCTGTCCATCAGTGTCACTGATCAGGCAGCCAATCCACACGATGCACCACCAATTAATACGCCAGCCCTGCACCATTTTATGACCAGGAATTAATGGGACCTGGAAACTGGAAGCAACATGAGACTGACTGTTTTAAGTTCTAAGGCCCTGAATGGATCATTCAGTCCCTAGACTAAAATTAGTCTCTAGACTAAAAACTTTAGTCCCCTACTGTTTAGATACAGGAACTAAAGACATGTGGACCGAGACAGAGAAGAGAGAGGCTATCACTTTAGTTCTTATAAGTACCTCCAAGAGAAACTAATGAATTATAGTCCCAATATACACTTTTAGTCTTTTTTTTTTGTCACATCTGTTTAAATTCTTAGGGACTAAAAGGGACTAATGAATTAGTCCCATGAACCAAACAGAGCATGACACACCAGGTTCTCGTTCGTGCCGTTGCCGCTACAGCACTGCTAGCTCGCAATAACGCTGAAGTTCAGTTCAAGATTCTGTGGTAACTTAAACTTGTTGATTTTTTTTCTTTTTGTCTGGACCATCAGGATCTTTGCATCACTATACCCAGGGTCATTTTCCCAGTCAAAGCCACTGTAATTCCACACAAAGTCTCCATGCCGTGGATATTTTGCAAAGCATAACAAAAGATCTTATTACATCACTGTCCAGATATGTTATCACTGTTACCATTTTGCCCTCCAACATTATGCAAGCGTATCCTTTGTTAACTTATTATCCCCTATGGGCCTCATTAACCTACTATAAAATGCAAGAAGAAGTGAAGAGCAGTGATCACCTATCCTACAGTTTCACTATGTCTCTCCTCATTTTCATAGTACTATTGTTCTCCCTATGCATCCCAGCAAGTTCTGCCACGACGGACACCATCTCAGCTGGCCAAACGTTGGCCAAAGATGACAAGCTCGTCTCGAAAAATGGCAGGTATGCATTTGGCTTCTTCAAGACAGATACAAAAGCGTCTGGAAAAACTAACAAGTGGTACTTAGGAATATGGTTCAATCAGGTTCCCACGCTAACTCCTGCATGGGTTGCAAATAGGGATAAGCCAATTGATGATCCCACATTATTGGAGCTAACGATCTTTCGTGATGGAAATCTCGCCATCTTAAACCGCTCAACTAATGCCATCCTTTGGTCTACCCGAGCTAACATCACAACAAATAACACCATCGTTATTCTCTTGAGTAGTGGAAATCTCATCCTAACAAACCCCTCAAACTCTTCAGAAGTTTTCTAGGAGAGCTTTGACTACCCCACAGATACATTTTTCCCCGGGGCAAAGCTTGGATGGAACAAGATCACTGGCCTAAACCGTCGTATTATTTCTAAGAAAAACTTAGTAGACCCAGCTACTGGTATGTATTGCGAAGAGTTAGACCCTACTGGTGTTAATCAGGTCTTTCTTGCACTAGTGAATTCCTCCACGCCATATTGGTCTAGTGGAGCATGGAATGGCGAGTACTTATCCTCAATCCCAAAGATGGCAAGCCATAATTTTTTCATTCCATCATTTGTGAACAATGACCAAGAGAAGTACTTTACATATAATTTGGCAAATGAAAATATTGTTAGCCGTCAAATATTGGATGTCGGAGGTCAATCAAAGACGTTTCTTTGGCTTGAGGGATCAAAAGATTGGGTAATGGTCAATGCCCAACCTAAAGCTCAATGTGATGTCTATTCAATTTGTGGGCCTTTCACAGTTTGCACCGATAACGAGCTTCCAAATTGCAATTGTATAAAGGGCTTCACCATAACATCGCTCGAGGATTGGGTACTGGAAGATCGAACAGGTGGATGCTCAAGAAATACTCCAATAGACTGCATCAGCAACAAAACCATAACCCGCTCATCAGATAAGTTCTATTCTATGCCTTGTGTTAGATTGCCCCCAAACGCCCAGAATGTAGGAAGTGTTGACAGTTCAAGTGAGTGTGCACAAGTTTGCTTGAATAATTGCTCCTGCACTGCTTACTCCTTCAGCAATGGTGGATGCTCTGTTTGGCACAATGAATTGCTTAACATAAGAAAAAATCAATGTACTGGCAGTAGCAATACAGATGGAGAAACCTTTCACATTCGTCTTGCTGCACAAGAATTGTATAGTCAAGAGGTAAATAAAAGAGGAATGGTTATTGGTGTTCTTTCTGCATGTTTTGCTTTATTTGGTTTGCTGCTAGTTATCCTACTACTCGTGAAATGGAGGAATAAAACAAAGCTATCAGGTGGCACAAGGAAGGATTATCAGTTCTGCAATGGGATCATTCCATTTGGATACATTGATTTGCAACGTGCAACTAACAATTTCACAGAGAAGCTTGGGGGAGGTAGCTTTGGTTCCGTATTCAAAGGGTTTCTAAGTGATTACACAATTGTAGCAGTGAAAAGGCTTGACCATGCATGCCAAGGAGAGAAGCAATTTAGGGCCGAAGTGAGCTCAATTGGAATCATCCAACACATCAATTTAGTTAAACTAATTGGTTTCTGTTGTGAGGGTGGCAGGAGGTTGCTTGTTTATGAACACATGCCAAATCGTTCTCTTGATCACCAACTATTTCAGACTAATACTACACTTACCTGGAATATTAGGTATGAAATAGCCATCGGAATTGCTAGAGGATTGGCCTACTTACATGAAAATTGTCAAGACTGTATCATACACTGTGATATTAAACCAGAGAACATCCTTCTCGATCATTCATTCAGTCCAAAAATTGCAGATTTTGGGATGGCAAAGCTTTTGGGAAGGGATTTTAGCCGAGTTTTAACTACAACGAGAGGAACTGCGGGTTACCTTGCACCTGAATGGATTAGTGGTGTTCCTATTACAACAAAAGTCGATGTTTACAGCTATGGGATGGTGTTGCTAGAAATAATATCAGGAAAGAGGAACTCATATGCCTCATGTCCTTGTGGTGGTGACCATGACGTTTATTTCCCGGTGCTTGTGGCGTGTAAGCTTCTTGACGGAGATATGGGTGGTTTGGTTGATTACAAATTACATGGTGGCATCGACAAGAAGGAAGTTGAAAAGGCTTTCAAGGTTGCATGTTGGTGCATTCAAGACGATGAGTTTAGTCGACCAACAATGGGAGGAGTGGTTCAAATTCTCGAGGGCCTAGTTGAAGTCGACATGCCTCCAATGCCAAGGCGACTTCAAGCAATAGCTGGAAGCTCAAATTCAACATGCTCCCTGTATTCTCTTCCAGCAAATATTTAAGTTCGAGAATCCTTGTAAATTAAAAGGAACTTTGTAATTCCTGACATCTTTCTTCTTTTTAAGTTGTCTTGTTAACATAGTAATTTTTTTACAGTCTTGCTATCTGTCGTTCAGGATTCAGCAAAGTACAAAACTAGCACAATGTTCACCTGAAAATTAAGGAATAATTAACTATTTGCCACTCTTACGAGTGGTTCTAAAAGATTTACCACTGGACCCACATGTCATAGACACATGAAGGCCCACATGTCATAGACACATGAAGGCCCACATGTCATAGATAACGAGTGGCAAATTCTTAATTGACACATCTTAAAAGTGGCAAATAATTAAATGTCCCAAAAATTAACTCCATGTGCAATTTCTGATCTCTTCAGTCTTCAGAATAACAGTCACACATGAATGGCTTTATTCGTGAGTTTACTGATCGCTGGTCGACGGCGTCTGAGATAAAGCTTGTGTTGGCCCGGATGGTCGATTCATCACTTTTACTCTGAACAAGTTTGAAAGCCAGATCGACTGTTAGTTCATCATTTTGTTCTTTCTCTCTCTCTCTCTTTTTTAACAAACCGGCACGAGACGATGCCCGTTTCAATTAATATAGAAGGAAGAAAGGTTTGCATCCCCTAGGGGCTGAAAAAAAAAGGTAACTATAGCTATACAAATGCCGATTGTAGCTCAAGCAAACGCTTTGCCCCTGCTGAAAGCCCATGTTTAATGTTTTTGCCACTTCCTTGATTTTATTGACCAGACGATGTACTGGGGACTCCTTGGAGCAGGTACAATAGCAGGCTATAAGCCGGCTATAACCATATATCGAGAAGAAAAAAGAAGAGAGAGAAGAAATCAGGCTACAGATTTGTAGCCGGCTGCAACACGGACTCTAAGATATTATGTGTGTATGAGAGGTGGGACCAGGTATTAATGGTGTAATATATTTTTATAGTTAACTATTGTATGAATGAACTATTAGATTGATTATAGATGTTTGGGAGACAGTAGTGGCTATACTATTGACCTTGCTCTTATGCATCCTCATTCATTCAGCTCTTAAAGTGGCTGAAATCTGTATCGCCAGTCAACAAGTGATATGGTGTAGCAATTCTGAATTTGCCAACGACTTTGTGCGCTTAGCAGGCTGTTACAACTTACAGCTAGTAGCAACCACCATTTCAGGCTTTCAGCTGGCTTTGCCACGCCTCTCGCTATCCATTTGTTCAGAAGTCATAAACCTGTATATCAAAGAGCCTGTCCAAGATCGTCGAGATCGGTCAGACAGCAACGCTGTCGCGTTTGGTTCTGGCCTTCCGGTGAATGATCGAATTATTATGTGCCAATTTCACAAGGAACATTTGTTTAATGGCCATGCTAATCATGATTATATTTTAAAGGTTAAACAGACGACGATTTCTCTCCGGATATCACTGCCACAGTGCCACTGGACGCCAACTTTGTCTCCAGCTATTTGACCAGGTTATCTCTGAGCTCCACAGTCCAAAACATCGGAAATGATAAGATATTAATAAACATCTCAAATGATATAGAAGTCCAGGAAGACATGATTAATTTTAGTTTCCAAAGTTGAAAACAAACAGATGTTGAGCACAGACTTGGATCATTCGCCACTACGGTACAATTTGCGAGCTTTCAGATGTCATTTGTGCCACAGTCAAATTACTACCATTTACCAACAACTTGATCCAAATTCAACCCGATCGATCATTGACAGAAATCACCCATACCTTGAGATTCTTTAATTCGCCGGCCGATACAGATGCTAAACATAAATTTGGATCATTCATCACTAGCGCTACAAATTTCTGGTTTTCAGAAAGTCATTTATGCCACTATTGAAGTACTCCCTCCGTTTCATTTATGAATGAATCTATACACATACATATATATCTAGATTCATTAACATCTATATGAATGTGGACAATGCTAGAAAGTCTTATAATATGAAACGGAGGAAGTATCATTTACCAACAACTGAGTCCAAATTACAACCCGGTCGATTGACCATTTGACAGAAATCAGCCGTACTTTCGGATTCTTTAATTCGCCAGCCGACTAATTGGTCACAAAGCCCTAAGAGTCGGTTATATGTCTGTATCATGATGTAATTTTTTTACTGCCATATATGCTAGGTCAGGCCAATGACTCCATCCTTCTTTCTGCCTTCAAATATGTTACCATCTGCCAAGTCCCAACGACCATGCAAGCTTACTCACTTTCCCTCTTGCAGTGTGTTCTCTCGTATCCACACGCGCAAGCCGCAGTTGGCATCCTCTGTCATCCTTTTTTTTTAGATAAAATTGATTAAACCCGGCCTCTACATCCAAACTGGATGTACACAGCCAAGGCATCCTCTGTCATCTACCTCACCCAAGTACCTTTGCAGCTGTGCTAGCTAGTTCTTGATTTGTTCACCATGGCTCTTCCCATCACTGTCCTGTTCCTCCTCTTCACACTGCACATTCCTGCATCCTGCAAGGTGACAGACACCATCTCAGCTGGGGAGACACTCGCCGGCAATGACATACTTGTCTCCAGCAACGGCAAGTTTGCGCTTGGCTTCTTCCCAACCAGCAGTAAGTCCTCCCACAATGCTTCAAACTGGTACCTGGGGATATGGTTCAACCAGGTGCCAAAGCTCACTCCAGCATGGGTTGCCAATGGAGATGAGCCTGTCACTGGCCCCACTTCGCCGGAGGCCACAATCTCCGGTGACGGAAACCTTGTCATCTTAGATCAGGCCACAAAGTCCATCTTCTGGTCAACCCAAGCTGACATCACAGCAAACACAACAATGGTCAAGCTATTGGATAATGGCAACCTTGTCCTGCAGAACACCTCAAATTCTTCGGTTGTCTTGTGGCAAAGCTTTGACTACCCAACAAATACCCATCTCGCCGGTGCGAAGCTAGGCCGGAACAAGGTCACTGGCTTAAACCGCCGTCTTGTTTCCAGGAAAAACTCTGTAGACCCAGCTTCTGGCATGTACAGTTACGAGTTAACTGACAACAATGGTTCTACCAGGTTCATCCTTGCAGCTCTCAACTCCTCTATACCATATTGGTCTAGTGGAGAATGGAACGGACATTACTTTGGTTCCATACCAGAGATGACAGGTCAACGCTTAATTGATTTTACTTTTGTCAACAATGATGAAGAAGTGTACTTCACATATACCTTACTAGATAACGCAACGATCATGCGTTTTATGCTGGACATCTCTGGTCAGACCAAGATATTTTTGTGGGTGGAGCATGTGCAAGATTGGGTACCAACCTACACCAACCCAAAGCAGTGTGATGTGTATGGCATTTGTGGAGCTTTCACAGTCTGCGAAGAGAGCAAGCTTCCTATCTGCAAGTGTATGAAGGGCTTCTCTGTACGATCACCCAATGACTGGGAGCTAGATGATCGAACAGGCGGCTGTGTGAGAAATACTCCATTAGACTGTGGTATAAACAGAAACACCAGTATGCAAGACAGGTTCCACCCTATGCCGTGTGTTGGATTACCCAGTAATGGCCAAATCATAGAAGATGTTACAAGTGCAGGTGGATGTGCACAAATTTGCCTGAGCAACTGCACTTGCACAGCATATTACTATGGTAATACTGGATGCTCTGTTTGGAATGATGAATTGATTAATGTGAAACAGCTACAATGTGGTGATATTGCTAATACTGATGGAGCAATTCTTTACCTTCGCCTTGCTGCCAAAGAGGTGCAAAGTATAAAAAGCAGTGGACGATCAATATTCATTGGCGTTGCCATCACTGCAAGTGTTGCTTCCTTTGCTTTGGCACTCTTCTTGATAGCGAAGATCCCAAGGAACAAGAGTTGGCTGCTTGGTCACAGAAGAAAGAATTTTCATAGTGGTAGTGGAGTTATTGCATTTAGATATGCTGATCTGCAACATGCAACAAAAAACTTTTCAGATAAGCTAGGGGCAGGTGGTTTTGGCTCAGTATTCAAAGGGCTTCTTAATGAGTCTACTGTCATAGCAGTAAAAAGGCTTGATGGTGCTCGTCAAGGAGAGAAGCAATTCAGAGCTGAAGTAGGATCAATTGGAATCATCCAACACATCAATTTAGTTAAACTAATTGGTTTCTGTTGTGAGGGTGATAGAAGATTGCTTGTCTATGAACACATGCCAAACCTCTCTCTTGATACCCATTTATTTCACAATGACGCTACAGTCTTGAAATGGAGCATAAGGTATCAAATTGCTCTTGGAGTTGCTAGAGGACTAGCTTACCTTCATGATAGTTGCCAGGATTGCATTATACACTGTGACATTAAACCAGAGAACATACTTCTTGATGCATCATTTGTTCCAAAAATCGCAGATTTTGGGATGGCAAAGTTTCTGGGAAGGGAGTTTACTCAAGTTCTCACTACAATGCGAGGAACTATAGGGTATCTTGCACCTGAGTGGATTAGTGGTACAGTTATTACATCAAAGGTTGATGTCTACAGCTATGGAATGGTTTTGCTGGAAATCATCTCAGGAACGAGGAACTCAAGCAAAGAATTTGCAACTCGTGATGACTATGAATATTTCCCTCTGTTAGTGGCACATAAGCTGCTGGATGGTAATGCTGGGAGTTTGGTGGACCAAAATTTACATGGCGATGTTGATTTGGAGCAGGTAGAAAGAGCTTTCAGGGTTGCATGCTGGTGTATTCAAGATAATGAGCTTGATCGACCTACAATGAGTGAAGTTGTTCAATATCTCGAAGGTCTTCTTGAAGTTGGCATACCCCCAGTGCCACGACTACTTCAAGCTATTGCAGGCAACCCATATTCAAAGTGAGCACTAAGCAGAATTTTTCTTATACAAACATCTTAAATTGAGAACTTATCATAATCCCAGAAATATATGTGCGGCTGAGAGGCATGATAAGAGCATGATATTTTTCCATGACATCATTTTGTATAATATCATAAAAGAATATGACACATCAACATTCCATGCCAGCACTCCTAACTGCATCTTTTTTTTTTGTTATATGTGCAGGTAGTTGATGGGTACCTGAACCAAGCTTCAGAAGAGGCAGGCCAACTGTAAGATACAATAGAGCACCGTGCACCTCATTCTTGACACGAAAGTAGCTCTGATGTAATCCTGGGGCTTCCCTTCAGTAGTTGCCTGGAGTCTAATCTGTCAAAATAAAAGCAGTGATGATTTGATAATCCAAGTCTCCTGCAGAAACCAAAGTCCTCTGCTAATCTGTGGCACAGCTTTGAGCACCTGATAAGTAAATTTCTCGCCGGTACAAAGATTATTTAGAACAAGCTTGCCGGTATAAACTGCTGTCTAATTGTGTTGTTCCCAGTAAGAATTTGTCAACCTTGTACCTGGAATATATCATGAGTAAGGTCATCCTCAAACAACTGAAATCTCCCCAGCCACACTTGGTTTTTTACTGAACCAAGACACACTGCTTGAACAAGAAGGGATCGATCAATAGCTCAATTTGATGTTAGCCATGTTATGTCAATAGCACCAAACTGTACATTTAGCAACAATGGAAGAGGATAGCACTTTAAATATACCTTATGAGACGAGATAACAGCTGTGCATCATTTACAGGATTCTTCTTGTGAAATGGAGATTAAGACCTCACGAGACTGCATAATAATGTATTATATGCCAACCCCAAAAATATTTGTGAGATGTCTTCTGGTCCTCCAACAAACAGCAGCGGCAATCAGAATCAGTCTTCGGTATTTGGAACATATCACCCCCCAAAATAATCTAATTTCGTCGTAACTCTGATCAGCCAAAAAATACTTGCATCAACGTTATGTAACTGTAGACTTGAAAATTGAAATGTACAAACTGCTAAGTGAGAGATGAACTCTAAATCCCCATTAACCTTTGTCTCCTCAAGCGCGCGCCAATTTCTACCGGAACCCTAGTCCATTCCAAGCGAAACGAGGATCAAACAATTCGTCTCGCTTTGGCGACGCTCGCGGGGGCACCTGCGAAAGGATCCCCAAATCGTAGAGGAACAGATACCAGTGTATGTAGGGGCGACGAAGAAAACCCATACCTTGCCACGGAGAGGCTCCGTCCCATTTCTCGGCGTCTCCGCCGGCGGCGCCGGTGGCGGCGACCGGCGAGGTCGGCGGCGGCGGCTGGCCGCCGACAAGGAGGCGAAGAGAGAGAGGAGAGTCAGAGAGATTCTAGGCCACCAGCACAGGCCGGCCCATCACCCCCATGCGAGCGAGCTTTTCTGCGCGAATTCGCCCACAAAAAAAGTCCACATTACGTCCCTTAGCTATGGGTCCGAGTTTCATCCGCGTCCCTCAACCGCGAAACCGGGATACACATTGTCCCCCAAGCTATAAAAACCAGTGTAAATCAACACGAGCCCCTCAATGATTTGGGTGTCGATTCCATCTTAGGGCACCCACAATGGTTATCTATAAGCTCTCTACAAGAGATCCATGTCAGCATATTTTCCTACTTGGAAGAGATTAAATGAAGAGAGAGAGCAAAGCTATCTACTAACATGAAGATAGTCTATAGAGAAAAACGAGGCAATGGATTAGAGAGCTATAGATACCCATGTAGACATACCATTGAAGTGGTTTACTATTAATCTAGTCTATTGTTGAGGTGTACATATTTTATAGATAGCACCTTACCATTGCGGGTGCTCTTATGTGATACATTGACATAGTTTTCATCCGATGTGGCGTGTACTTATAATCTTCATCCTATCCCTATCAGTTCATCCATAACCTCTAAATGAATTAACTTTAATCCTCTTGTTTTTTCGCCTAGTCCCCCTCTCTCTCAGCTCAAATAATCACATGACGAGAGGACGACGAGAAGAAGAAACAGAGAAGAATGCCTTTTTTTTCCTTACTAGCAAAAGTGCCCGTGCGTTGCAACGGGTGAAAAAATTCTAATGATAATATACGTTTTTCATGAATAATCATGTCAATGACAATGTTTGTATTTTAATGAGCGGCTTGTTTTTTTATAAATGGTGTTTTTTTTCTTGCGCGATTTTCTCAAACCATTCAGAAATGGCACATTTCTTTCTAAAAGTTTTTTTATCATTTTTCTTTTGCTTTTTTACTTACAATGAAAACCATATTTTTCTCTCTTTTGTGCCTTTTTTTTCTAGTGTGTTCTTTTGTCTTTTTTTACAATTATTTTCTCACGCATTTTTTTTCTTGTTTTTTCTTCAAATGTTCTTTTTTTGCTTTTTTCCAATACAGGACTTACGGGAAATAGAACTTTTGTTGTTGTTGTTTTTCTTTTTATGCACCTTTCTGCTTTTGTTCTCTCTCTTTTTATTATTTTTACCAAAAACGACCACAAGTATCTTGTTGTAAGATTATAGGGACTCAAATGTAAATATAAAAATTACAGGGACTCAAATACAAAAGTACAAACCCAAAAAATAAAATAATATAAAAATGGAATGCTCTCGACATGTAGGTTTCGTTTTTGTAAACAGATCTTCAATCCGGCACATTATTTTATTTCACCAAGATTTGAGAGATAACACGGTACAGATTGAAACTGAGAGGAGGGGTGGCGGGTATCTCGGACTCAAAAGGACTGGCGCCTTTTATTTTTCGGGGGAATCGGATCTATAGTCGGATTTTTTTCGTTTTTGAGAGAGAACCGGATAGGAGTCGGACTTTTTTATTATTATTTTTTCGCTATTTTTTTCAAGATTTTTTTCGTCCTTTTTTTTGGCACGTACGGAATCGGATTATTTTTTCGCTTTTTTTTTATCGGACGGTTACGGTTTTTTTATCGCTCGTCTAGTTTTTTCGCCGGTTTCTTTTCGCCCTTTTTTGCAGGGAATCGGAATTTTTTTGCCCTTTTTTTATCGGACAATTACGGTTTTTTCGCCTGGTTTTTTTCTCGCTCGCCCTTTTTTTTTTGCCGGTTTTTTGACGGACGATGGAAGCATCTCTTATTTTTTAAGTAGTAGAGATAAATCCAATACAAATAATTATGAAAAATTCTAAAAAAAACAATGTAGGGTATATTGACATGTATTGTTCTGCCAGAAATCGAATTCAATTTTGACCTACACATTAAGGAACTAAAATAAGAAAAATTCAAATGTGAACAACGCGTTACTATTCTATGCTGAATTTATCTTTTATATCCTACCTCCATCCCAAAATAAGTGCAGCCATGAATATCCGTGCCGAACGTTTGACCGTCCGTCTTATTTGAAAAATTTGAAAATATTTAGTCACACATAAAGTACTATTCATGTTTTATCATCTAATAGAAATAAAAATACTAATCATAAAAAATTTTTAAATAAGACGAACGGTCAAACGTTGAACGTAAATAGTGTAAAACTGCACTTATTTTGGGACGGAGGGAGTATATCTTACGTGTGAGTTGAGTTTGTACCCAAGATTTTATATAGTGGTGTGTGTACAAATCTTCTGAATCAAGTACCGACTGTTTGTTCTGAATCATTTTTGGATGAGTCTGTTTGTTCCTTACTCCTGAAAAGTTAGGATTAAATTTTAGATTAAAGTGGCATGCTTTTCAAACTACTAAACGGTGCATTTTATGCGAAAACTTTCTATATGAAAGTTGTTCTAAAATATCAGATTAATCCATTTTCAAGTTTGTAATAATTAAAACTCAATTAATCACACGTTATTACCACCTCGTGTTACGTGAAACACTTCATCTTCATCTTCATCTTCAGTAGATTCAAACACCACCATCACTCTATGCTTATATAGTGTCCTTCTGAACTATTCTTCTCTTTACCTTAGAAATATAAATAAGGTAGATTAGTTGTATGAATTGATCAATAAATTTGAGCTAATTTATTCGTAATCCCCCTTTTCAATTCGGTTTTCGTGTGGGGCAAGTTTTGACAAGCTTTTCTCTAACTTCATTCTTCTTCTAGAATTTGATCTAACCGTTAGATTTTAGGGTGTGTTTACTTCACACCAAAATTGGAAGTTTAATTGAAATTGGAATGATGCGACGGAAAAGTTGAAAGTTTGTGTGTGTAGGAAAGTTTTGATGTGATGAAAAAGTTGAAAATTTGAAGAAAAAGTTAGGAGCTAAACCAGACCTTAGTGTGGAATTTTTGTTAGCTCTATAGTGAAGTCTGGTTTCTACAAGCAAAGTTTGTCATAGTTCTATCGGTTACTTTCAATTAATCTAGGTTTCAGTAAACATATGTTTTCGTTCAGATTAAAGTTTGTTAGATCCCCTCAATTTTATCCATTGCTTTTATGTCTCTTGACAAAAAAAAAATAAACCAGGCTTATTCTTCAAGATTTCTATTATATGGATTTGAATTGCCGACGTTCAGTCCGAGGAAGCTTTGCTGTTTTTCTCCGTTGGCTTCCCACGTACTGTAGCTGCGCTACTGTAGTACTGTTTTGAGGCTTTTTGCATATTAGGGTGACTAATTTAGTGTTTTAGTGATATTAGAATAACTTTATTACTACCTCCGTCCAAAATAAGTGCAGTCATGAGAATCCGTGTCCACGTTTGACCGTTCGTCTTATTTGAAAATTTTATAAAAAAAATTTTTAAAAAAGAAATAGTCGCACATAAAGTGCTATTCAAGTTTTATGATCTAATAACAACAAAAATACTAATCATAAAAAAATTTCAAATAAGACGAACATTTAAACGCTAGATATGAACGGATAGAGTATTATTTTCACTGCGGTTTTGCATTTTTTCTAAGAAAAGAAACAGGTGATCATTCACTTCTTGTCATCGACACCACCCCGATATAAAATCTAATGCCTAGAAAAAAGTATTACGAATTGCTTCTTTCTTAAAATCGAATTTAAAATTAAGTTTCAAAATTTAAATTCACGGATAAACCAACTAGCAAACTACTCCCTTTATTCTAAAATAAGTCAACCTCGTAATAGGATATAACACAATTCATATCCTAACACAAGATTGATTTATTTTGTTACGAAGAGAGCATGAAGCGATACCGAGAGAAGGTGACCGAGCACAATCTCTAGAAAAGGCACCGGAAAAGTTGAGAAGTGGACTGGATAATCATTTTAGCATTGAACATTGTTTTTAGTTGCAGCACGCGTAGCCGTACAGACGACCAGAAGCAACGCAACAAACAGAGTCAATGATAAGCGTCATCACCTGTTTGCTGGGGTTGGGATCACCTGCATAATGGCAGCCATCCGTTTTTTTTTAATGAACGGATCAGATCGTTAGCTACAATATCGATGTATTTAGTACTCATCGATTCTTTCCGTAGTGATCTACAGTAACCAGATGCATCCTTCAACTCCAACTCTAACTCCACTCCTCCTGGAGCTGGAGCTCAGCCAAACAGTTTCAGCTCCACCAAAACTGGGAGTGGAGTTGGATGGAGCTCTCTCACAAAATGTACTAGAGTTGTGGAGCTGGATTTAGGCAGCTCCACAACGCCACTCAAGACTCAACTCCTGAAGTTATATTTAAGAATTGGAGCTGTACCAAACAGATCCTTAACACTCAATTTCAGATTTAACAGCTAGAAGTGGACTATACAAGTTGTAGTCATATTATTAACTGCACTGGATCCAAATCCTGCCTGCGGAAGTGCTGTACTGCTGTCCATTTTCACTCTATTTAATCTACTACCAATTAGAACATTTGTGCAAGGAACTGGTGAAGATGGAAATACTCTAGGCATGGCTGATACATTAAATTTTCATATTTCAAATCAAAATGATTTAAAATCAACGTACATGTGGAAGGAAAGAAAAATAACTTGTGACATGTTCGAAAGAGCTAGCTGCTGCAACATTGCTGCTACGCTTACATCAACTAGCCAGCAGCAACTACAGCAGCCTAAGAGCACCTCCAACAGTCTCTCCAAATGTCTATTTGGCTAACTCTCCATCTAATTTAGCAAGTCAAACTCGTTGTTTACTCCAACAGCCTCCCCATTCACCCTCTCTATTCTAAGTCTATTACAGTGGGACCCACGCGTCAGTCTCTCAACATTTCCTTCTTTTCATCTTTCTCCCCCTTTCCCCAAGCCTCCTCTGCTGGTCTGCCCCCATCCGCTGCCGCCATCTACCGCCGCCGCCGCCACCTACCGCCGCCGCCGCCGCCACCATCTACCGCCACCGCCGCCGCCGCTACTCGGGCTCCATCCCCATCCACTGCCGCGGTGCCGCCATCCGCCGCCGCCGCTCGGGTTTTGCTCCCATCCGTCGCTGACATCCGCCGCCGGGC